AGAGAGAGAGAGAGAGATAGATCATTCAAATCGATCATTCAAATCCAAGGCCTATGAGAGAGAGCTGGTTATCCAAAGCAGGTCCATGATGGTTATAAAGCTATTTTGCATGCCCTCTGGCATTGTAAAAGGTGAGAATGTATCAAACGTTTGGCATAAAAAATAAATAAAAAAGTGATAACTATGGGGATATAAATGCATTTCATTATCCAAGTAAACCCATATTGCACACGTGAATGACATACATGGAAAAGAAATAAATGTCACATATATGTTATTAAAAAGTCACCAAATAGATGCTTTAGATGCCCCATAAAGAGGTCCTTTATATGCCCCCACAAAGGGGTCCTTTACATGCCTTCAAAATTACATGAATGTTGAATATTCACATAACCCCCAAAGTTAACTACAAAAAGGGGTATTTATATGTCTCCAAAATTCAAAAAATTAGTTAAGTCCTTTACATGCCCCATAAATAGGTCTTTTATATGCCAGCAAAATTCATTGAATAATCATATAACCCCCAAAGTCAAAAATGAGTTTTTACATGTCTCCAAAATTCAAAAAATTAGTCAATACAAAAAATCCTTGATGATAATGCAGTCTCGTAATTTGTCATATCCTCCGTGAAATTGCAGCCCCTTCGTTTGTCATGACCTCAACTCTGTTCAAGGTCTTCAATAGCCCTACATCCCACGTGCCCTCATCGGGTAGTTACGCTTGTCATGTACACTCTTATTACAAACTTTACACTTCCTTCCAGTGGGTGGCCTTTCCTCCAACTGTTTTTTTTGCGTATAAGCTTTTGGCCCTTTCTCCTATGAAGGTTTATCCTTTTAGTCCTTGGGAGGCTGCATTTCAAAAGGTGCAACATTCAAAAGAAAAGTTCATTTTACTTTTATACTAAATATGAGGCCAGAAAATCATGTTATTCTAAATCCTACTTAATTTGCCTAAGAAATTTTTTTGAGAAAGTAAGTTGCCTAACAATTGTAATATACATTTGAGAGATTGTAGGTTGGGCAACAGAGAAGAACTGCGTGTGTGGCAAAAAGAGAGAGGGCAAGGAAGAACTCACCTGGTTTGTTGAAGAACTGCGTATGTGGCTTTGGCAACAAGAAGCAAGAAGCAAGAACTCGCCAAATTCATGCACTTCAGAGCAAAAAGAACAAGAACTTTACGTAATCAATCATGTTAATCATAATTATTTAACATGTTTCGCTATATAAAATTTCTCCAAAAAAAGAAAGCAAGTCCACTCGCAAAAAAACAAAGAGAACAGGGAGAACAACGCCCTTTGCCCATATTTTCACCAATCCCTTAGTGAATGGATTTCACACCTTTAAGAACTACTTCGAAGCAGTCCACCATCTAGAGGGGTACAAGAATATG